CCAACAACACCAACAACACCAGCACCAGCAGCAGCAGCAGCAGCAGCAGCAGCAGCAGCAGCAGCAGCAGCAGCAGCAGCAGCAGCAGCAGCAGCAGCAGCAGCAGCAGCAGCAGCAGCAGCAGCACAGACTACGGTACGTAACGCTGAGCAGCAACCGCTTCAACAGCCAGTCCTAGCAACAATGACGAGGATGTAAGGTTCGGCCTGCGGCAACATTGCCAATGCTTTGTCTTTGCGGTCCTTGCCAGTCCCACCCATAACAGTCTGGAGAAGAATCCCCAAAGCTTTCGCTCACAAGCTCCGGTGTCTAGTCGCAATACTTTGCCGTGCAAATCTCGGCTGCCTGCGCCCTGCCATCCAATGTGCCGAAGCGTTCAAGTAGAACATCAGCTTCACTACCACGCTGTTGCAGCCCGCATCGAGTCGTTAGAGCTACTGTCGTCAAAGCCACTGGGCGCTGCTGTGCAGTAAAACCACCAGACTCAATTCGATTTCACCCTATGACAGAATGTGAGAGGAGATAGTTATTATGGTGCACCGGCCGACATCTGCTAAGCCAAGCAGCCTGGGTGGGCCCTCGTCTTCCGGTGGCGCTTCAATGGAGGCCACGTCGGAACCAGAGAAGCGCCTTGCAGGCTGGAGTGGCGATGGGCCCGGGGGCCAAACGCTCGGCCTTGGCGATACTGCAGCGGCTTCCAGGAGAGACTGCTTCGAGCCACTCACAAAGCATTAGAACTTTCGCAGGTTCGGTGCTGTGACTGTGGCTTCAGCGAATTTGTGAAGTGCTCTTGACAGCGTGAGCGGGCCCTCTTCTGGGAGCCCAGCGAACGCGGCGCATCATCTTCGGACGGCGCTTCACTGGGGGCGTTCGGCTCTTCCGGCATGGCAGCTCCGCCTTTCCGCGGGCGGGCGCTGGAGGCGAAGCTTGCAGTTGACGGCCTGAGTCGGACCCAACCGAGAGATCGCTTGCAGCTCTGACTTGTCGGTGACTTATCCCTCTTGACATTGCCATAAAATGCTGTGCCACTTTGAGCAAAGCTGAACACACCGAAGAACAAATGAGCATCCGACGGCCTCTCCTCCGACGTGTGTGCAGTGAGAGGTCTGCTGCCGCGGTCGCCCTTTCTGCTCATGGGCATGACGGCCGGCTTCCGGGCGGGCAATGGCCTGGGCCGATGCCAGCAAAGATGCAAAACCAACATGGGAAATTTTACGGATGAATATGTAGACTGACTGCACCACGAACCAACCTCAACAGGTGGCGGTCGTGCCCGCTACTAGGCAAGTCTTGCGCTGCATTTAAGCACGAGGCGAATCCTCCTCTGGTGGTGCTGCCACTTCAGAGGGCGCATCCAACTCGTGGCGTACAGACTGCATGTAGCTGCCACTGTTGCTCGATCGAGTTGGCAATGAGATTTCCGGCAGTCTCGACGACGGCCAAGGCTGGGATAGAGTGGGCCAAGACCCAAGCCTCAAGGGCAGCGCGGGTGGTGGTGTGGGTGCTGCTGCTGCAAACACACGCTGCGCTAGGCATCTAAGCATCCGGCTCTTTTGCTGCTGCTGCTTCTCCGGGTTCGTTGAAGTCTCGTGGTGCGGCTCGGGCAGAAGGCTGCTTGCCGGGACCGCTTCCGGATGATCCAGTCAGAGCCGCTGATGCCAGCGGCATCAGCCTAGGTTTAGGCAGAGAGAGATGATGTTCACAACTCTCCAGAAGGCCGTCTACTGCCACGGCACAACTACTTGGAAGTACGACCAGACAACGGAGAATCACCCCGGCCACACCTAAATCCGACACGAGCGCCTCCTCTACCTACAAGGGGTAGACTTATGTCGCAAGAAGTCGCGGCACCGCATGGTCACGCTGCATAAAGTGAAGTCGCGGCAGGGGCCGAAGTCATTGCACATCTAGGGAATCCCCAAGTACACGCTCTGTTGCAAGCCTGGAAATCAGGCCCACGCGCTGGCAAACTCCAACCTCTAGGTAGATCATAACGTGCGAGAACATTGGAATTCCCTTTTACACGCGCCCTTCGGGAGCAGGAGCACGGAGGGTTTCAAGAAGAGTCTTCCACATTCCAGACCGGCGTTAGTTGGGTGTTGCACGTCAGTAGACAACTGGCTCCCGAGCATTACCTCGGAATCCCAATGTGCTTTCCGGTTCGAGACGACTTCTAGCGAATTATCTTATGAGCTTTTGCACGGTATCCCCATGTACGCGCCCGCGCGAGGACCCTGCAACGGTTGATGTTTGGATGTATGCCAGGCTGGGCCTGGATTGCTTCAGCCCAATGTCAATGCAGAAAGATGTGTATTTCCTCCGCAAGATTGATGCCAGTAAAACCCTCCTCTCGTAGTAGCCGTAGTGGCCGCAGTACCGGTTCCCCAATGTCCACGCGCAGACGCAACGACTTCCGCAAGACGCTACGACTTACTAGCACCGCTAGTAGGTCAACACCTCGTAGCTCTTGTGTCGCAACGGTTCTCTGCTGGTGCTTCAAGGTTTGAACAGTGTTTGAACCCTCAGCAGCATCATCTGCTCGGGCTCCGGCTGGTGCTCTGCGCTCGGTGGAGTCTGAAGTTGGCCCATTTCCTGGCAACAGAAGAGCTACACAAAGAAGCACGGCACCACTACCTTTAAATTATTGACGTTCACGCACCGGACTTGCACCTCCGCAATCTCCCGTTGGAGTTCATCTACCAGCCGCTTTTGCTCCTCCAGCATCGCTCGCATGCGCGCTCGCAGGACTTGATGGTGCGTCTCTGCCACGGAGATCGAGCCGCTTAGCCGGCTAGGCGATTCCAGTTGCTCCGAAGTTGCCTGCGAAGAACTCACTTGCAACTTCAGCCTGGAGTTCTCCAGCTCCAGCCGGGAGTTGCTGTCGCGCAGCTGCTGACACTCTATCTCCAGGCTTCGCAGCCTTTCCTGCAACGACTCCTCGCTTATCCTGGGCATTGGCAGCCTCATGCCAGACAGCCTCTCCTGACCTTCGCGTGAACCTTTGTCCGCAGGGGGAGCACGTTCGGGAGACAGCCGCACTTGCCCGGGAAGCACCAGCTGCGTGTCCATTGCGCTGGGGCAGACACATGCCACTCACATGTATGACTGTGTTCATAGGCCCTAACTAAACCCGAAACCCTTGAAGGGCGGAGCAGGTAGCGATTAGATTTTCCCTGTCAGTTGCAGGGGACAGCTACATGTCAAGATGCACCATGTGCTTCAGGTTCTGCTGCTGGTTGCCATTGCCCGGAAATTACTTGAGCAACTTGTGCCAAACGGGTAGCATCTTGTGCCAAGCGGGCCAGCAATCTGACGAGCTGCCATATGTTTTGGGTTCCGTACCCTCCCTTCGTCTGATTTATTCCAGAAAGTCAATCTTCATGGCAGCATAGATTTAGGGCATGCCGTGACGTCAATACATCGGTGCAGGTACCGCCAAGATAAGGCTTAAGTCATCCCAAGGGTTAACGAAACAGTGTCAGGATGCTGGGTTCAGTCGGAGGCTTGCAGGGCGGGAGTCACACTTGCCACTTCAACAGTTTGACCATGAACCCGAGGTCGTTTCAAGCCTGGCAGCAGTTTAAGGTTTAAGGCAGGGCGAAGTGTCGAACACATGGATTTGAAGCAAAGCTAAATACCCCCTCGCCACAGTGGGAGGAGGCACAATGCCCTGGCAGTAACCGTGCACATTCCGACGCAAACTATAGGGGCATTCATGATGAGAACAGGGCATGGGGGCAAATGACACATAAATTAAAGGAGCGATAGATCCAACGATAAGATGCTTGGGGCAACGGCTGCGAGCAAACGCAACCCCTGAGGACTCTCTTTCCTTGCTGATGCTGCTTCGACTGACAGTGTGAAACCTCACTTTTTGTACAGGTGTATGTCAAGCGATGCTAAATGATGCTAACTTGCCATAGCTCCTTTGGGAGGTAGGACAAGACGGCACCGAATCTAAGCGGTTTTCGGCCGCAACAGGTCGCCAGATGCTCTGATCAGGGCACAGTCACCACGTGCACAGTAACCTTAGTTGCTCTCGGCCGACACATCCAGAGTCTGGCGGCAGCAGCACAACCGCCTCCACGCAACAGCAAGAGCAAGAAGATGGGAATGCTCACGCAGAGTTACCTGCTCCGGTAAGAGATTCCGACGGGTTTCGGGCCGCTTAGAACGGGCATAAGCGGCTCAAACCATTCAAGGCTGCTGAGGGGTTATGAAGTATTGAGGGTCATGAGAGGCTCTTGCAACTTTGCAGATCCCTGGGTGTTGACGCGCCCAATCACACGTAGTATGCTAAACCACCCGGCCCCCCGCTTCTCACACTGTGGCGTCGGCATGTTGCCAGAGCTCAAACACTCAGAAATACTCAGAATGGGTTGCGCGAAAGTCGCCGTTGCTTGTTGGAGGATCTCGGGGGGCCTGGCGGGGCTTCCGGTGTCCGTAACCCCACACCATCCGAAACTGGCCGGAGGGCATGTCAGGCTTCAAAGCTCTAGCGAAGTCTTCATGCGCGGAAGTTACTCGAGGTTGGGCTGGCAAGAAGGGCGCAAGTCCAGAGGCCAGCACATTTCCCTTCCAATTTCACCGGCACAGGCAACACACACGGGAGGCACGCAGCGTCGAACACGCCGAGCAGAGTCACATCCGAAGAACAGCCTCAACGACGCGAAGGTGACCCCGGAGCCAACCCAATTCGGAAGAGAACCCGTAAGTACATCTCCACAAGCAGCCCTCATCAAAGAGCCCTCTTTTCAACAGAGCTACGACAGCGATACAAGAGTCATATCCAATAAACCTTCCTTCTGGAGTGTGTGATAATATGGGCGAGGTTCGAACACAGGAACCGCTGGAAGAGCATGAAGGAACTAATGCATGCATGAAAGAATGACATGGAGAGACGAAAACGCCGAAAGTAAGCGAATTGAAGACATAGCGAAGAACTCGACCTTGGAACTTGAAACGTGGAAAGCATCAAGCTTTATGAGCCCGTTCATGCCCCTTCCGAAGACTTTTCGGAAGTGTTTACGACTCTTACGAAAAGTCAGAAACTCAGACATGTGGTGTTCTTCCACAGCGTTTCAAGCCAGGCGGGAAAAGCAGAGAGCATCGGGTGCTTTGTCACAGGCGGAGGGTTGAAACAGATTGACTTCTGGGACTATCTTGGACTCGCGTTTCAGCGATTCTGCCGGCTATGTGTAGGCTGTGGACATGCTCGCAACTTGAGCGGTCTCGGCTGTGCCATTTTTCGGGGCTTTCGGTGCTCACTCGGACACTCCAGGCGAGGCATGTGGCTTTAGGGCCTGGGTTTGGGGTGCTGATTCGGAACCAGGGCACACCTCCACTCGGAAAGAAGGCTCAGTTTCCGGGCTTACCAGAGGGTTCTGGGCTTGAAGTGTTATGGCCTTCTACGCCGTCAATGCAGGTACATAAAGGCCTAATATTGGCTCACAGTTTGGGGCAGCTAGGCTACACAAGCCGGCGGCCATGCCCCAAGTTTGCAGCGACGAACCATCCAAATCAACCAGTCACTACAAAAAACGCACACACAGAGACTTGAGGTCGGCTTTCTCGAATGCTCCGACCGTGTCGGCGCAACTACAACAGTGTCCCAGGCGGGGCGTGCAAAGCAGCCAGGCCCGAAAACCCAAGCCGTAGCATTTCGTGGACAATGCCATCTCGCACGCGATCTGCCGCAAAGTTGAGGGCGCAGGTTGTTACAGATGCATGCGTGCAATGAAACAGCATTTAGAAGTAATGAGCGATGTGTCGGTTCTGTTCGGCCAAGCAGCATGGGTGGGTCCTCGTCCTCCGGCGGCGCTTCAACCGGGGCAACGTTGGAGCCAGACACGCTGCCCCGTGTAAGCCGAGGTTGACGAGCTGATCCTTCGCGCCCGTAGATTGGCGGAACAACCGACCTTGGAAAGGCTTACAAGCAGCCCCCCCAAAACTGCACATGGTGGTGCTTGCTGTTGCCATCTGTTACCCATGAGGGTCGAAGCTCATTCACACGCACCAAATCATGCGTGCTCTTCTGTACTTTCTGTGACTGCGGCTTTTTCAGCAGTACAGGAAAAGACCATGAATATCAAAGCACACGGGCGAAAAAGGGCCAAACAAAAGCTGAGGAGGCTAAGGAAACCTAAGAAAAACTGAACACATAAGTAAAGCTGAACAAATCCAGGGCTCCTGGTCGCATGTAACCATGTAACAGAAAAAAGCTTATGGAAAGGGTTGAGGAGGTGCCTGACTGGGTCGTCTATAATAGGGTTACCACTGGACTGCGGCATTGGTAGCCGAGAGTGGTCCCAGACTTTTCTGACCCCGACTCTCTAGCGTCTGAAAATGGAGCAACAGCAAGGAAAACTTACCGCAACCGAAGAGAACCAACCCGAAACAATGCCAGGAAAATAAAGCAACAGTAAGGAACACATAACATAACCCGAGAAAAACAGAAACTAAGAACAGCTAAAACAGAAAAACTAGAAAAAGCAAAAAACCAAACTGAAGGCTGCAAAAGAAAGCTAGAACACCTAAAATTCTTCCTACATTTCGGGCTTGCCCCCGAGACGTTTTTTTCTTTCAGCAGCCTTCCTAAACAAGACTGGAGCCTCTCAGAGGCTCAGTAGTCCGCTTTGGAACCATCACGCAGTGAGCATTCACGTGTCAAAGTCTCCGTCTAGCAGGCTTAACAATGGAATGATCTCTCAGTTGCCCTGCTACAGTAGCGTGGGGGTTCCAAGCAAGAGATTTATCTTGGAAAGTTTTAGGTCCCTTGCCAAGGTCTGCCCGTGGTGAAGAGGCCTCCGATATAGAAGGTGCAGATGCGCACGCGTGACCAAACCTATGACGCCGTGTCATCTGTCGCTGCGCGGCTACCCCACCTCTCCCACCCACGGGACGGTCCCCAACATGCCAAGTGCATTGACCGTCACAGGGACATAGGGTGCCTCTTGCAGTGGCGATCCACATGTCCGTCCTCAAGCATAGAAAGGCACACGCGTATCAGCATCAAAGGCCCTGCCGAAACAACAGTTTTCATGCTGGGATATGGCAGGGGCTGCAGGGCTGCGGCGGAGTGCGACAATCCACAAGTCACAAAATCACACGTGCGAGGGGAGGAAACCATCTAACGCTGGCGCAACCAGAGCCATTTTCAGATGATTGAGTCAGAAACCACCTACCCCTACCGCTCGCCAAGCTCTATAGCCTGGTGGAGTCACAGCAAGGAAGTGGCGTTCAAAATTCACGTAACTTTCCCGCTTCTTGAATTCCTTGCCATGGTGGGCTTGGCAAGTCGATTTGGCAGGGGGCTGCAACTCCATTGCTCTTCCCACGATCACAACGATTTCTCGACGCGTCGCGCTCTACTTTTGGGGATACTGACATCTACGTCGCGAAAACATCAACTGTCACAGGGATCGGCCGCGATCCTGTGACAGTTCTCGCCGCTGGAGCCTCAAATCAACTGCGCGGCACAGAGTATTGCCTGTCACTTGGATCGGTCCTCTGAGCAATGTTCCTGGGCGTTGGGCGGTTGCGGCTATGCCCTGCCTAGGCGGACCTGAGAGTCGAACAACACCGTAACAACACCAAAGGACAAATGAGCATCCGACGGCTCCTCAGGCGGTGCCGCCGCTTCCCAGGGCGAGTGCAACTCGTCTGGTGCAGAGCGCATGTAGCCCGAAGGCAGTTTCACTGGAGCCGTGCGAGCTGATGCAGTGAGAGGTCTGCCGCTGCCACGGTCGCCCATTCTGCTTGGCATCGTGGCGGCCGGCCTCCAGGCAAGCACTGGCCTCGGCCTGGGTCAACACTTCCCACACCACCCGCGACTAAAGACGGAGAGAGGCAGGTGCTTTAAGGGGGTGCCTGCTGCAAGTAAGCTAACTTTGCGCTGCATCTAAGTGGCGAGTCCTCCTCTGGTGGTGCTGCCGCTTCACTTGGCGCATTTAACTCGTCAGCTGCAGACTGCATGTAGCGGCCACCGGCGCTCGTTCTCGTAGGCAATTCGTTTTCCGGCAGTCTCGACGACGGCCACGGCTGGGATAGAGTGGGCCAAGACCTAGGTCCCAAGAAAGAGCAGGCTTGGGTGGTGGCGGCATGACACAAGACACATTGGACGGGTCGTGCTGGGCATCTAGGCATCCGGCGGGTCCTCCTCTGGTGGTGCTACAACTTCTTGGGGTTCACTAAGGTCTTGCGGTGCGGTGTGCGCAGAGGCCCACGTGCCGGGGCCGCTTCTGGCAGATGCAAGCGGCATCGGCCTAGGTTTGCATTCTCTGCAAAGACAACTCAAACTGTGCAGTAGCGACGCAGCTGGGACGACACGGAACTGGTGCAGGAAACGACAGCTCGAGTTAAACAAATGACATTACATTATTATATGTGCATCGCTTATTTACATGTATTTTTTTATACCCGTACATAGCTAAGAAACAGATGCAAAAAAAAAACATCAACCAAACACATGCCAACACAACAAGCACAGAAGCTCTACAAACATCTTATACCTGCCAGCAAAACACCCAAAATGATCTCCGACAGTTGCCAAAAATACAGAAAGTTGTTAAACAACGTATGACACATGCATCAAAACAACGAGAAATATGAAACACAATAGACCAATCGTGCAACCAGGAAATGTCGAAAACCCAGAAGCCACGAACGTGGAGAATCGTAGAATGAGTTGAAAAGCAAGAAACAACGGACCGATGCTTTGTTAGTCATTTCGAAAGAGCAACCCCCGCGCGGTAAACCCTCTCTGAAGAAACCCCTAAGAGGCCTCATAAGGTGGGGCGAGCCTGGGTGGGGCGAAAGCCCCTGGTACCAGTTAAACAAAAGTGTGACAACAGAACGGAATCTGCAATGCTGCAGCCCGCTGACCATATATGGCGTTCATGTGATGTCGATTTACATCAGAAAACACTTTGAGGACTGCACCAGGTTGCGTTTGCACATGCTCACCGACATGACCCCAAACCGTGTAGATACGTCTCGTTATGGCGCACCGGATTGCGATACATACCGGCAAGTGCTTGTATCCAAGACCAGGAAAATGGATACATGTATCCAAAACCCACGATTTGGATACACATCGTTCCAAAGCCATACAGGAGAAAGAAAACGATTTGTATCGGCTTTTCAGGGCGCTTCAAAGGTGTCTTGGGGCACTACCGTGGCGCTTTGATTTGCCCCGCTGCGCTGCATGGCGTGTGCGATTGTCTTGCAGCCCTGCAAGACGAATCTGCGTGCTTCGCAACAAGACCCTGCTCAAGCACAAAGCTTTGACTCAAGCATTGCAGTCTGTTTTCCAGTGCGGTTCACCGCTGTTGACACAATCTGTGGCGTTGCTGCATGCTGCCCGGAAAGATGTGGTTTTGCTCGCTGGTGCGTTTCAGAGGAGGCCGTGCCCGCATCTAGGCACAACGGAACCCTGCAAATTCCAACCAAGCCGCGAAAGAAGAACAGCAACACACTGAGAATACGCCGATGGTCGAACGTAGTCTAGCTGGGCAAATCCCACCCAGGCTCCCGGTACCTACAGTATTGATCTTTCCTAACCCCCCACCCCCCAATCCTGAGACAAGAAATGCGTTCGATCCAGTCGTTCGGAAAAGCACACCTCAGAAAACCGATCAAGCTTTCAATTCTTCCAATCCCTCTGCGCTTCTACACTTCCTTGGAAAGGCCAACCCACGTGTCAGTCACTGTAGGTACTTCACCCCGAAGCCAATATGTAGCAGCCCTTCTCGCGTGGAGATCTTGGGGTGGGTTAAACCATCGCAGGTCAAGGCTTTCACGCGGGTGTATTACTAATTACGTCGTACTACCATAGCATTCCCTATCCTTTCCTGTCTTTGCGACTGCAACTCCAAACGCAAAGCTGCATCTCTTCGCAACTCGATTTCAAAGCAACACCCCAACGCGTGTCGTCTTGCGGAAGCCCCACCCCCCACCCGATCGTGTTGGTGTCCGGTCAGGGCTGTAAACCCTGGGACTCGGGCTGTCGGGGTTCTGCCTCCGTGGGACGAGGCTGAAGGCTCATCTCCTGGCAACACGAGCAGCACGGGAGAGTTCAAAGAATCTCAACACCACAGTCTGCTCGGAGGTTCAGTGCTTCAGGGGTGGCGGCTGCGCCTCAGCAATCTCAAGTTGGAGTTCATGTACCAGTCGCCTTTGCTCCTCCAGCATGGCCCGCATGCGGCTTCGCAGGACTTGGCGCTGCGTCCCTGCCGCAGAGATGGAGCCGTGCAGGAGGCTTGGCAATCCGTGTGGTTCCGAACTGGGTTGCCCTCCCTGCGAAGAGCTCACTTGCAGCTTCAGCTTGGAGTTCTCCAGCTCCAGCCGGGAGTTGCTGTCGCGCAGCTGCTGACACTCTATCTCCAGGCTTCGCAGCCTTTCCTGCAACGACTCATCACTGAGCCTGGGCGTTGGCAGCCTCGCCTCATGCATCCTCTCCTCGCGTGCGCGTGAAAATTTGTCTGCGGGGAGGCCGGCAGGAGACAGCTGCATCTGCCCCGGAAGCTGCCGTTCCATCCATGGTGCCCGAGCTGGCAGAATCATTCGAGCCTTGCCTTGTCTGAGTTACATTGTCCGGCTGAGATGACTCTCCAAGCCTTACCGACACAGCTTTCAACGATTCATATGTCATTGTATGTGTTTGTCCTTCAGGACTGGTGGTGTTTAGGTTGTTAGGCACTGGAAACAGTTTTGGATATGATAAAATATCGTGTGAATGAACATCTGAGGATACCCGTTTGCGATGGCAGAACCAAGCCGTGCAAACGGCTGCCACATGTTGGAGTGTCCACCAAAGCTTGACGAGGCTGTAAGAAGTGCTATCGACCGCCATCACGTACTGAGAGGCCATTCTTAAGAAATATGACCACGATGACAAACGGTGTGATCAAGCACCATCGCCTCATGAGGAGGCGGATTAAACACATGGCGTCAACCACCATCGCCCGATGAGGAGGCGGCTTTGAGGGAACGGGTTCAAGCGAAAACAAGACGGGGAGGGGCAGGTTTACAGAAGAGATGTGATCTGTGGGGATCGCCTACTTAGGGGGGGGGTTTAAAAATGCAATCAGCCGTCATCGCCAAATGAGGGGCCGGCTTAACAAATGTCGTTATCAACCCGGAACAACCGCCATGACCAAAAGAGGAAGCGAGTTTTTCAAGACATGTGATCAACCGCCATGGCCTAACGCGTTGCGTCAGCTATCATGTGCATCCTTTTCTGCGCCGCATGCGAGGCCGTGCCAAAGCTTGAGAGTGCAGCTGTTTTCAACAGCCTCAAGGCCATGGCGATCTCTCCTCGCTTAGCCCAATTAGAAGATCATAGAACGATGTGGTGAGACCTCGCTTTTTGTACAAGTATCGCAAGCGATGCTATGTTGCCTCAGCTCCGTCTTGGAGGCTGGACAAGACGGTGCAGTGCTGAATTATGAAAGGCTTGTTTAGGTAGCGGACTGCTCAAGACCATAGCTGATGAACTTTTCAAGTCTGCCTTGGTGCCAACAGCCTATGCAAGGCCAATGCAGAGCTAGGCCCCGAGGCCCCAGGCGTGTCGATGAATGCCGCAGAATCAGCAACTGAGCTTGAAGCAAAACTTCTGCCAGTTTATAAAACGCGCCCGTGAAGCGTCAGATGCCGTGAGAAATCGGAAAACAATGTCTCCGGGTCCAAAGTAACCTGAGTTGTTCTTTACTTTGTCAGCTCCCACGTAATTTGGCTGAGCTCTTAGTCTAGTGTTCGTGACCAAGTCGCTGATATGCATGCGCAGCTCATGTCAAGTCGACGAGAGCAACACCAGCAGCGACAGGAACGACAGCAACCACACCAAGAAGTGGAACAACACTTATTCAGTATCAATAAAAGAAGTTTAATCAAGCAAAACAGCAGCGCCGCCAAAAAACGACACTGTGAACCTCCAGCCGTACTCGCGTGTGCTCACCTATTTCGGCTCTGATATTTTGCCACTTGCCTCACGAGACCTCCTGGGAAGGGAGAAGGCTGGCTCCCCACTCAGACCTTTGATGAGCTTTGGGGGAAATGCAAAACCTCAAACCTAAGGTGGCTCTTGTCCCGAGGCAGGCACGATTAGAGTGAGGTAGCTGGCAGACCCAGTTGGCGCTCATAGTGTCACAGTATGACAATAGTGTCTGGTGCGCATGTGCGTGTGTGTGTGTGTGTGTGCGCACATTATACACACATACATACACACATACATGCGTACATACACCCATCCAACCATCATATACGCATATGATACTTATTCATATTAAGCGTGTGTATATGTACATCTGGAACACCTGCATCATCCATCCATCAAGTGCGCATATAAGTCTAGATATGCTAGATAGATCTACGTAGATATGGATACAAATGAAAGTTATGCATCGTTACATGCAAACATATTTGTATGCACGTGTATTTATATTATGTATGTATATGCAAAAGCAAATTATTGGCATTTATGTCCGTACGCATCTTCACATGTATGCATAATGTTTACAGGTCCTTACATTCATATATGTGTACGCAAAGACACAGAAATTCAACGGAACGTCCTTTCAGGTGCCCGGCAAGTGGCCCAGCTGCCGCAGCCCTTCGATCCAAGCCTTCCGACCAAGGCTCTCTTGGACATCGACATCCTGCGAGGGCATGCGAGGGCTTTGCAAAGGCTTTTTTTATGGGATCGTGATGGATTGTGTCTACATAACTCATATATCTATATATATATATATATAATTATAATTATATATATATATATATATAACTCATAGAGTGCTATTTATAGGGTTGTATGGATGGATTGTACAGCGGTTTTTGATCAGGCTTTTGGTCCAAAGAGATTTCTAGATTTTTGTTTGTGAAGTTTGCTGCTTTGGGTCACCAAAAAAACCTCCAGAAGTTGCCTGTGAAGTTCCTGTTCGGCTTGAGCCGCTTTCTGCGTTGCCCGTCCCAAAACTGTGACATGCCAAATGCCCTCTTGACAAACTCGAACACCCCCATTACAGACGCAGTCCAGCGCTGCCCAGGCTGCTGGCATCGAACCATATATGCGCATCAAATACTGCCTTGGCTGAGTAAGCGCCTCCGGGATTGATGTAATGAGATGCGTTGGCAAATGTCTATGTATCTGCTGAACTGTTAGCAAGCGGCACGAACTCCGCAATGGCGTGGTCAACCTGTGACATAGGTCAACCACGCACCAAGGAACACATCAGATGGCAGTTTCCAAACAGCTCCCTTGACATGATTACCGTGGGCCGCTGGGCCTAATGTGGACATGTGATTTACGTTTCGGCCTGCTCTGCTGCACTAGATTGGTCCAGCGACAATGCCTCGCGCAGTACTAAGCAACGGGCATCCTTGGTGAGCTGCTGGAGCACGTTCCAGTCGCTTCTGGAAAGCGTTCCATGACCAGAAACGTTGACGCAGCGGAAGATAGCCAGTATTTGTTCCTGGTCTCTTGCTTTCGATGCAGGCACATGCATCAGACGCCCAGTCACAACACACAACTCTCCTATGCTGCCGAAGCAGGTGACCTTCATTTCGTTGTCGGAGAAGGGGTTCTTGAACCTTCGCCAGCCCAGATCTTCCAGTCCCTGCTGAAGCTTCCCGAGCCCAATCTCGCCTTGGAAGGAAAAGCGAGAAAAGGCTTTGGAATGACAGTGTCGCACATGCCTTAAGGAACTCTTCCTGACCGGCACGGTATCGAAAGACCTACTATCTATCAATCTACCCAGCTACCTAGCTAGCTAGCAAACCATCTGCATCTGCTGCCCAGCGGCCGTTGCCGTCAAAGCCGTCGATCGAGTCGAAGGCCTTGTTCAAGTCCACCCCGCTCTCCTTTAGCATCCTCGGCTCTTATCGCGCATATGGATGGGGGTTCGTCAGGGCTTTTGGGTCCTTCTTGAGGAGTTCTTTAAGGGTCCTTATAATGAGAAAGCATCCAACTATTCATGCCATGTTTATTGCCCCATGTTTGGACTCATGCCTGAATAATACTGTAAGGGTCCCTCTGTAAGGGTGTCTCTATGCTTGGGCTTGCTATTTTCTGGCATCGACTTCGCATGATTTCGCCCGTCGGTTTCTGCTCTACGCTTTCGTCAGTGGTTGGGGGAAACTGACAACAAGCTGAAACCGCGTGAAAGTCGAGGGCCCTGGACTGGAGCAACACTAACACGAAGGCCGAAAGTACAGTAGAGGAAACCGGAGGAAACTCTGATTGACGAAAACGCTGCCTGCATTGAGGCAAGATGCAACACCAAGTCAATCACTTCTGAAGGCACCTGCACGGCTTGTAAGCAATCGGGCTGCACCACAAACAATTGTGCTGCTGTGCGTTTGGAAAGGACTCCAAACGCGTGCGTCTTTTGAACCTCGGGGTACTGTACCTTCCAGACCAGAGACTGCGAATGATCCGAACACAGCTCTCGCTGTAGTGTACTCTGTCACGAGAGATATGTCGGCTTCATACTCCGCGTCTGGTTCTCCTAGTCTCAGCTCCATTGAATGTCATTGAATACTTCCGAAGGTCGTTTGGAGCCGCCCTCTGAGCGGAGCAGCACCCACGAATCTGTGGGTGGTCAACGATCTTATCACGGTATCCCACACACTGTCCTACACTGAAGGAGTAGTTGAATCACACTTCGATTTCGAGGTCGCGGGGCGCCAAAGGGACAAACAAGTTGGCGTGGAAGCCAACCCCGAATATAACATTTGCCGGCGCCGTGCTCGCCGTTAACAGCAAGCGCAAGAAGAAGGGCCAACAAGTACGTAACGTTTAGCAGGATTTGTGCAAGCTCTTCGGCTGCGGAGCTAACCCCGGGCATTAGTTTCCACGCTGTGCAACAAAAGATCACGCAGCACAATATTGGGTTGACAAGCAGCCGAAAGGCGCAGGCCTCGATCATGTTGGTCCACCATGAGACAGCGGTTTCTTTTACATCCTGCCATGGGCGATGAGCGGTGGTCCCAAGCAAATGTCATGTGCAAGACACGGCCATGCACAGGCGCAAAACATTCTCTTTCATCAGCAAAGGCGCAGAAAAGTGATAAGTCTTGCATAACTGCTTGCGGAGCTCGAAGTTTCGCTGTCCCGGAGCACAAACATAGCTGCACCTGACCAGGGCACACCTTACGAAAGGACGGTCCGGGCGTGCCGTGAAGGCCAAGATGCTTGAACTGGCCACCCTGGGGGACACGGTCCAGGAATTCCTGAGACATGGCTGATTCAAAAAACTTCCTGTAATTCCTTTAGTTGCGGGTCACTACAGTATAAGGGCTCATGGGGGCTCTGTTGCAGGTTGCCATAGTGGCTCCTGTAAAAATACTATAAGTACTAGTTGCTAGAGTACTGGAAGGGTACTCCGTATGTTACTATATGGTGCGCGATCAGAGGTGCGAGGAAAGCTCCAGCTGAGCCAAGACTCCCAGCTGCGAGGAATGCCCATCTTCAGCGGATCAACAGTCCCGTCTGGCAACACGTACCTGAAGAGGCTTTTGACTTGTGGGTTGTGAGGTCATCGATCTATCAATCTATCTCTATGTAT